GGTCCCCGGCCATCAAGGACTCAGCGGCATGACTAAGGAGAACCCAAGCAGCATCAACGTCCGAAGAATGCAGCGCCTGGTCAAACGCAACATCGTGCTGGGCCCATGCCTGCTCCCAAGCCTCGGCTGTGACAGGAGGTAGGTCGGCAGGCAGCCGCCGGCGCGCGGGCGCCCGTGGTAACTCCCGGATGTCCTTAGCCAAAGAAAAGGAGTATGACACCAAATCGTGATCGGCCGGGCCTGGGGCCTGCTGGCGATCCAAAGCGGGAACCCCCACAGTGGACAACGCGAAATCCACGCATCGGCCTGTAGGTTGACCGTGCTCATCCCGGCGTGTGGGCCGCAAAGGAATGTCCCCCTCGACCGTTTCGTCAGCCAACCGCCAGAAGCCCGCAGCCCTGGCGTCAGCAATCGGGGCCCGGTCCGGAGGAAGGTTGAAGTCACCTAGCAGAATAGTCTCATCACCCCGCGCCGCAGCGAAGCTGAAAACATCATCAAGAAGCTTGGCAGCGAGTGCCTCAGAGGCGGCCGGAAGATACAAGTTGAGCAGTATGATGGGCCGCCCCACCGGGCGGTGCAACCGCACAGCAGAGCCGCGCCCCACAGGCAGCAAGCCCTCAGGCAAAGCGAATGGCATCACAGGCAGTCGTGAAAGGATGGCCGTACCATAATGAACCTGACCAGCCACATTAGCAGCTTGGGAGCCCAAAGCACAGTGCCACCCCGCATGGCGAAAAGCCGATTCAACAGCAGCCCTCGAATGATCAGGCACCCGCGTCTCCTGAAGCGCCAAAACATCAAGGGAAAGAAGCACAGCGAGTGCAGCCACAGAGGCAACCCGCCCAGCCAAAGTGCCCACGTTTAGGGTCCCGATCCTGACACGAGTGGGCCGCGTCATTGCGAGCCACCCGGGCCCTGGCAAGGCGGCACAGCGTCAACCGACACGGCAAGCACATGATCATTAGAGCCGGCGGCCCCACAGGCATTAAGGTCAAGGCCAGCCGCCCCGGCATCACCAAGGGCAACAACCTCAATCGGGACGGCCTGTCCGGCCGCCTCGGCGGGCAGCACCTTGTCAAGCAGCTGCAGCACGTGCTTGGCGGCTCGAACGATAACCGGGTCCTGGTCCTGCGTGGCATGCACAAGCTCACGGCGCACACGAGCCCCGCCCCGAACAACAGCATCACACAGCTTGCGGCGATCAAGGGAAACCCGGCTCTTACGGCACGCAGCACAGCGCAAGCACAGAAAGCGAAGCTCAAGCTCAAAGCGATGATCTTTCAAGAAGGGCCATGCAACGGCAGCAACATCATGAGCACGCAAAGCCGGCGGCGGCAGCGCCTTGGCAGTGAAGCGGCGGCGCGCGGGCCCCGGCGGGGCAATGCAATCAAGCAGCTGGCGGCAACCATCAAGCAAAGGTGCAGCATGCCCAGCATCAGCAATCATAGCCCTCACGCTCGCCTCGAACTTGGTGCGGGAGGAGGTCGGGAGCTTGCGCTCGCACGCCTG